GTTTTTAGTAACTCAAGCATATGTGTCGATCGGTGTTTACTTACTTGTATTTGCATCCTCGCACCAATAGAAGGACCATTCGCTAACGTATTCAGTAACTCAACGCATTTTTTCACGATGATATGTTGAGCCACATTTATTACATTTTAATTTAATACTCCCGCCTTTCAATTCTTCTCACCAATAAAAGGATCATTATCACTAACGTTTTTAGTAACTCAAGCATATTCACAGTGATATGTCAATCGGTGTTTATTTACAATTGTTTACAAACCATTGATAGCCTATTCAGTAACTCTAACATTAATGAAGAGGTATAGCATTATAGAAAATATTAGTTAGATTAAACGTCAATTTAATCTGTAATATTTAAACATATTAAAGGACGTACAGATAGCAAGTTGCATTAGTGAAATTACTTTCAACAGTGCAGAAATTCTGCCAACGGCGCATCAAAATTATCGGACTATTGCTCAAGCACACGTCACGACTTACGCAAAACAAATGAACGTCACCATGCAAAAGTTTCAGAACAATCAAAAGTATTAAAAAAGGTGACTTGGTCTTTCTTCATACTCTCAATGCTGACAAAAACATGTTTGGCCGTACTAAACTGGTTGCAAATGGATTATGCCAGTTAGGGTGCTCTTCGGAGATGCTTAACATCAAATATTCAACCGCTAATCTTGAAATAATTGAGTCTGGTATTCATTATACGGAGCTGGACAACATACCTAATAGAAGTGTAACATTGCATAAAGCTGCTTCAGCTCAAAGCTTAACCACGATTAGATGTAGTTGCAAGACCAGTTGCTCGACAGCTCGATGCGCTGTCGCAAAGCTGCAGTCATTTGTAACTTAAACTGCCGCCTTCATAATCGACAGTGCAGTAATTGTTATGTGTAATTATTATTGTATCATGAGGTAGTATACAAACAATATAATATGAAGACGTAATACAAGTAGTAATACCACAAGTTACTTGCGCTTATATAGATTATTTATTCTTTATGCTAAAATTTACAGACGTTAAATAACATACACTACCCGGACAAAAGTCTTGCACATCGAAAAAATTTAATTACACCAAATTATGCGTAATAATGATATTTCAAAGTTAATATAACGTTGTTTTGGTTTTGAACAAACGCGTGTATAATTTTTGTGTTGTTGTAAACACATATCAATAGATCCGCAAACCTTTATTGATCTGGGTCATTAGTAAAGTAAACGGTAAAATGAATAGATTTGACTACATACAAATACTTAAAAAGCATTTATTACCTTTGATAAAGGAAGAACTTAATTGCAGAGGGTATTGGTTCAAGATAAAAATGCTCCAGTCTATACTGCTGAAGATGTTAAGAAATGGATTTTAATGAACAAAATCAAAGTCTTGCCAGATTGGCCAAGTCAGTCTCCTGACTTAAATCCAATTGAACATTTATGGTCGGAGCTGGAAAGAAGAATAAGAGGCAAACCACAGGCAATAACAAATCTTGCAGAATTGGAGACAACATTACAAGAAAAATTTCACAAAATCAAGTAATGGCTTTGATAGAAGTATGCACGGAGAATAGAAGCTGTTATTGCAAACAATAGGTGGCCAACAAAATACTAATTTATATAGTTACTTCATTTGTTAAAGTATTTCTGTCAAATTTGAAATGTTATAATTTTGTGTAATTAAAATTTTTCAATGTGCAAGATTTTTGCCGGGTAGTGTATTTATAACAAAAACCCAGTTGTTTATACGCAAGTAGGGTTGATATCTTAATGTCAATGAAAATGCTGTTACATGATTGTCTTTACTATTTCAATCAATCTGACATATGTTCATTCTGAACTGACATATGTCCGGACATAAATTCCCACCTGACATATGTTTATTCTAAACTGACACACAACAATTATACTCCATATTTGTCAGAGAGGTTGCCATGAAAAAAGGATCAAACAACTCTCCGATCAGTAAGTAGCATTATTCCCAATATTTAAAGAAAACAATAGCGAGCGAAAAGTTCGGATTAAGTTTATTTCTTTTTGCTGAAGCAAATAATTAGTTTTTGATATGTGAGAACTATGGAATTGAGTACTATGAAACATATATGCATACATTATTTTGATAAAATACGTTGCGCTTATGTAGATTGTCCATACAACAATACAACGTATAGAACTCTATGTTTTTGTTGAAACTGACATATGTCAATTGGAATTTTATGTCAGTTATAAATAATATCAAGGCTATATAATTAATTATCCGTATTGCTATATAGTAATAGAAATTATCACATTAAATAAACGTTTGGTAGGTAGTTTAGGTTTCAGATTCAATATATTTCTTGGGTACAATTCAATATTTAGATTGTCTTCTGGTCATGTCTGTAAGCTACCGTCTCTCTGTTTGATTTAATATGCTGAATAAAAACTTATGCTTATTGCATATTCGATGCAATTGTCTTAATAAAATATATGTTATGCGAAGACTGCAAAGAAACTAAATTGCAAATTAGCAAAACAGACATAAATTTCATACTGAAATACAACAAACGAATACAGAAACTGCGCCTTTAATACCAATAGGAACATCTTGTTCTGGGGATGACATGTTATTCCGAAACCGGTTGATTAATTTAGCAAATCATAAAGTGCAGACGTAGGTTAGTCATTGAGAAATAACCAGTTAATCAATTTACTGCATTTTCTGTTATCACATATGTTTTTTTCGTTAATTATTATTTGAGTTTATTACAATAATGAAAAATCTCTTGGCAATCGATATACAGAAGATAAATGTTTTGTTTATACAAGTTTCTACAATGATGGGATATACGAAAAAGTTCTTGGCAATTGATACAGAAAAATGGGTTGTTTATACAAGTTTCTTACAATAATGGGATATACGAAAAAGTCTTGGCAATCGATACAAGAAATAAATACAAGTTTTTTACAATACGAAAAGTTCTTGGCAATCGATACAGAAGATAAATACGAGTTTATCACAATAATGAAAAAAAACTCTTGGCAATCGATACAGAAGATAAACGTCTTATTTATACAAGTTTCTTACAATAATGAAAAAAGTTCTTGGCAATCGATACAGAAGATAAATACAAGTTTATTACAATAATGAGATATACGAAAAGTTCTTGGCAATCGATACAAAAGATAATGTTTTAAATTGCATTACGTAATGTAACCATAATGGTTGCACGAACCTCATACCGACTCCTAAAAAAATAAGATTATTGTTGTAGCTTCTTAGATGTTGGCCTACTATCTACAGCATCTTTACCACGCATCTCTCTGTCAAATACCCACGCTGCTACGCTTTTCTCGGTAAAACCGTACCCGCGGTCAGACAGAATAGCCGGTTTTTTCTCCGGAAATTCCCACGCCCCATAACATTTTCTTTGTTTTCCTCGTTGCATTTACACATTTTTTTTATTGTTAATACCAACCTCATGCTATAATTTAGTAAAAATCCGTCTTTCCTCTGCTTGAATCGCTTCAAAATTATCGTTTATAAAGAGGAAATATATTTGCCCGCAAGCGATATGCATACCATGCATGACACAATTAGTGATATAAAGGGCCTTCTCAACAGCTCGATGCCCCGATCAAATTTGGAAACTATTGCCTTAAATAGGTAGGGGGCATTTAGAAAGGCTGTTGAGAACTGATGCCCCTACTTTTATTGTATACGTTTCCAACTGGAAAGGATTACAAATTGTTATCCAGTACCGTTACATAATCCAAATATTATATAATACATTAAAAAGGAAGATGGTTAAAGCGGAGCAGAACTTGACCTGATTCTTGCAATTACATTGTCAAATTTGTATGAAAAACTGCTCCGCTTTTGGCTTCCCCAAAAAGCAGGTTTTCTTATTGACATATCAAGATGATCTTTTATCAAAGATAATTAGTTCAAGATTGCCAATGTTGTCAAGAATACTTATTATAGGGAACACTTAGGAGAGTGCCGCTGTTTGTAAACGGGGAATATGCTGCCCCAAACTCGAAAGAAAATCATGCAGTTTAATGCAAGGTAGCAAGCAAGAAGTATGATCACAAACATTTCGAACCACTTTGTGATGTTAATGTTGATTATCTCAACTGCGCAATCTTAATCTTGTGTAAAACATTGCTCAATTAGGAAAAAAAACGTCATTTATCAATGAAGGACCACAATGAGGGTGATTTTTAAATAGAATTAACGGGGCGAAAGTTGTTGTAGACGTCCTCGATCATTAATGTGAAACATAGCTGCGGGACAGAGTTATAATAGTTTTTTTTTTTTTTTTTTGCTTGAAAATTACTATGTCCAATCAGATACTGCACATCATTATTGTAATAGACATATGTATGTTGTTTGTTAATAAATACGGGCTCTCCCCTACGATTCTATCATGCACAAAGAGCCCAACAGTTTTTCAGCATACATCTGTGTGTAGATAATATGTGCGAAAAACCTAAAGATATAGATGCTTGTACGTTTTCCCCAGACGGGAAGCATCTGACTACGTACTCAGCGGAAGAAGGAATAATCACAGTATACGAGGCGAATAAATTAATGAATAAAATATGGCAAAGCGACAAAATCGCGTTAAAGCCAAGAAGATATTTAGAAGAAAAGAGAAGTTTTAATCCGTCTTCTATTGCTACACAAATGATGACAAACGTTGACTTTGCATTATCTAATGGAGGTAAATGAGAACAATCTTGTAGTAATATAAAAAGTTAAAGCGATATCAATTAACTAAGCCCACCTATCAATAGGCAAATTCGTTGCTTTAAGTATCATCAAGCTTCCTCAAGAAAATAAAGATCCCAAGCCATTTAGACTTGAAAATCCGGTGCCCGGAATTCCGGATGAATTTTATACATTTATGGTTAATACTACTGACGGTCACATTGTCACGGGCATGGAAAGCAATAATTGTGTCATAGATTTCGACGACAATTGTTCACGCTTCGAAAATTGTCCACACTTCATGGATCTGAAAGGAGCCATTAGGTTCTCGACTGACAGTGCCAACTTTCTTTCATGCAGTGTAGTTGCTGATGCTGAAAAACACTATCTTTACGTCTATTCAACAAGCAATTGGCAAATGATTCGGAACATGAACATTGACATATATGTTAATGATCTTCGAACTGCATCGCATCCTTGGACGCAAGTTGAATCAGTAAAAAGTTCACTACACGGTGAGCTTTTTGTGAGCATCGAAAAAGTAAGTAAAGTTAAGTGTTGGAGTGTTTATAGTTTGCACAAATGTATTTACTTCCAATCACATTTATTTCTAGTTGGACGTCCTATCATTCTTGTCTATACCGGAACACAAGCCACCGGTCCGTTGTCAAAGCAGTCATTTTGTAGACGTCGATGCAAGGCAAACCATCTTTGCCCTCTCTCCTAACGGAAAAATGCTCGCAACCTGGACTCCAACTGAAAGGCTTGTCATTTTTTTATGTGAATACGGTATCTTATTCTCGGATTCGATGGCCCCAAAAGAACATTTAGGCGATCGTAGTAAATCAGTGAGAAAGTTAGTATGGATTGGGGACAAACATGTAATGATTGTCAATGCGGACGGCGGAACAAAATGGGATATTTATACATATGACCTTATCAGTGAATACGATAAGTTTGGGAAGATGCCCATCTTTAAATCTACAGGAGAAGACGTCTATGCTAACTGTGATAACAACATTCCGGAGATCAAGGAGTTAGACGACCCAGACCTAACAGATTCATTCGATGAAAGTATAGAGCGGTTGGAAGGAACGACAAAACTGTGTAAATATGATGGCATAACGCTTTATGAAACAGGCATAAAGTATGTTAATGGCGGGAATCAGGACAAACTGCATCACATTGTTGAATTTATAATAGAACCGTGGTACTTTCCGCACAATCGAACTACAACAATATTTCTGCTAGACGATTACAATAAGCGAGTACTTCTTTTCGGTAAACAAACAATACAGGTGTGGAACTTTGCATCTAGAGAACCAAACTTACAATACATTTGGTGCAAACCAATATCTGCAATAAATTACAGTATTGACAAACCTTCGCTAGGTAGAGATAAGAAAGGAAATTTTATTCTCAAATTTCAATGTATTGTCGAGGGCTCCAGTGAAGAGCTGATACTATCGCTACGTCCAACCCAATTCGAAACAACTTTACATGCATTGTATGCCCGTAAATTTCTGGAATCCAAAGACCATGGTCCGAGTCACGGATTGCACCATTCTAAGCTATTGAAACAATGCGAAGAGATAGTTTACAGTACCATCCGTACCAACGCTAAAATCTTTAATGCGAATGTAGATGATAGATCCATGGTGCACTTACTGATTGATTTAGATAGCGCGTTTGCAGATTCAATGTTAGAAGAGCTATTACAAAAGGACGTTTATATCCCGCTGTTTTACGAAAACAAAAAGTCTGATAAAAACAAAGAGTCTGACGAAAACAAAGAGTCTGCTCTCTCATGCGCTATATTAAAAGGAAAAGCAGAAGTGGTTCGTCTGCTATTAAAGTACTACTGCCGCAGAACCGAAGAAAAGGCGAAAGGAAAGCCGGAATTTTGGACGCTGACTGTTGTTCCTGTGTTTAAAAAATTGATAACGAAATATCCGGACTCCGCCTTGGAATTAATTAAATCTATAAGCGATTTACCATTGTACGAGAAAATTATATTAATATGGAGTAACCAAAAGGATTTACATGCTTTTACCCCTGAGACAGATGAAATGCACGAGAAGGCCTCATTCTTGGACATATCAAGTGAATTAGCATTTTTTTTGCGATCGTTTTTCATGAGCGCGCCAAGGAAAACAGATGAAATCGATGAGGCAAATAAGGTAGTGTGATCATACTACGTTTTGTAACTTTATTTATTGGTACTAACAATCTGACTTTTAAAAGATCGGTACCCATCCACTTCGTGAGTGTGTAGTTCCGCTCCTAGACTTTACCAAATATCAGGATTTTTCTTTGTGGGACTTGCTTTTTTATAAACGGCAAGAGTGTTGTTCCCCTTTTGCTGATGCAGTATTGTATGGTCGCATTGACCTATTTGGAGAGCGTGGTATGGAGGCTATGATTAATTTCAAATGGAGGAAGTTTGGTAGGAGAAATGCTTATTTTCTAATTTTTCTGTATATATTGTACCTTGTCTTATTCATGAGCATTGTTACGCTAGACTGTGATAGGATAAAACTAGAAGCAAAAGTTAAAAACACTTTGATTATACTGTTTATATTTATAGTATTGGTGATAGGTGCTGTGTTTTTGAGCTCGGAAATAAAGCAATTGATACATAGACCATATTATTATATTCGTAATATTTATAATTTAGTAGACGTAGTAAGTTTGATAATGCCTATGGCATATGTAATTAATTTACTCTTTGGAGGTGATCCATTTAAACCTGCATACATTGGGGCATCTGTGTTTTCTCTCTATTTCAATTTCGTAAGTTTTTTTTTATTTCGATATACAGCAGATGCTTTTAGCATAGAAACATAATCCAATCATTAATGCACATACTATTTACCTTCTCTCCGGTAGATTTTGAAATTGCGAATATTTGAGAAACTTGGAACAGCGATTTTCATCATCTTTGAGATAATGTCTAATGTAGACCGTTTTATCCTAGCGATGACAATAATGGTACTCGCATTTGCACACACCTACTGGTTATTATTATCTGATACAGAAGTTATAGATGATGATAATGCGGCTGCAAAAGAATATTCCACTTTTCAACGAGGATTAGTTTCCACTTACTTTTTTGTGGTAAGTATGAACTTGTCATTAATTATCAAGACAACTCTTGCAATTTTTATTAATCATTATGAATGTGAATAGACCAATAATCTTGGTTCACTTAGCGATGCGTTTGGAAATTCGACCATTGCAATATTTACGGTTCTATTTTCGGTGATCAGCTTGTATATGTGGACTGTTTTGGTTGCTTTGATGACCAACGTTGTCGATGATTCTAGGACCGTTGGTAGGCACGCTTGGCTTAAACAAAGAGCAGAGGTAAGCAAGAAGATATTTTTCACGGTTTAAGCAAATTAATAACATGTTGATTGGTCATTCATCGATGGTGCATCATACAGGTCATAGTTGAGATCGAAATGTATTGGTTTACGTCAAAGGAAAGAGAACGAAAAGATTACTTTCCATCGCTAATCTATTACTATGCAAGTCCTGACGCCATCGAAAAGCATAGAGAAAGAAGCCTGAAAGAGAAAGAACGAGAAGAGAAGAGACGAGGAAACGAGAAAATGGAGAGAGGAAAGATAGAAAGAAAACAACAAGAAGAAGTGGAAAGATTAAAAGGAATAGTAAGAGATCAATATAAAGAGAAAAAGGATGCCTATCGTAAAAAAGTTTGCGAAATAATGCAAAACTTTTTAACATCTTTGTCAGCAAGTCTAGACAAAGAAACGGAAAATTCCACGGTTGAAAAAGTGGCGAAAGAAATATTATCACTGCGCAAAGATGAATTTTTAGATATAGAGAGTATGACTAGACACGCGCGGTATCTTTAGATCAGGAGGTCATAATTAAGAGTTGATGTTTCCTCTGCTAGCTGGGAATCGGCTTTACCGCGTTTACTTCTTTTTATTCTTTACATGTAGCGTAGTTTTATTGTACGCGATGTACATATTACAAAGGAACAATTTCTATTCTGTTTTTTATTTAATAAATCACTAGAATAGATTTTTTAAGACTTTGCTCCAGTGTATTATTTGGAGATGAAAATGGTTATTCCCATCTGATATATCAGTCAAAAACTGGATGTGTACTGTATATATGTAACGATAACTGGATCTAACGATGAAATTCGTTATTACCAAAACATTCTTTATACCGATTTTTACTATTAAACCTCGTTATTACGTATAAAGATACGTATACGATGCACCAACTATTGTGGCAATATATTTTTATACCGAATATCCAACAAACCGTTTGAGAACACGCTTGACTTTTGCACAAAAAAAGGATGTGTATGTTAAACTCTCTAGTAAGCCAGGGAGAGCTTGCCGAGGAAGAGACTGTTTCCATAAAGAACGTGTTAGAAAGCTTGGATAATGTGTTCAATTTTCTCGTTCATCCACCCGCAGGTTTTAATTGCGATGCAAGTATTGTATCAACAGTATGCTTCTTACAAAAACAAGTGCTAATAACGATAATAAGAAACAGTCAATGCTAGACGGTTTTGTTACTAGAATGTAGTTTGTAATATCATTGAATATCTTGTATAACGATATTTTTTCGTAACTATTATGTTATCGCTATAAATAGATTTTCTGGTATTAACGATAATTCGCTATAACGACGACGAAAATGTGACCTAACGGAAGTATCGTTATATCCAGTTTTGACTGTAAGTAATAAAATAAATATATTCGTTACTTATTATTACATTACCAAACTATTAGCAAACACTTGAAAGCATGTATGCAGAACATTTACGACTTGACATCAAGCCGTTTATTAGTCATATCTCAGTCATGCTTTACGTTATTATTTGCACAAATATCATGTTCATACAATAGATTGTTTATTAGAGAAATAGTACTCTGTCTTCTTCGAACTGAAATAGAAGAAAGTTGAAATTTGTGTTAATACAGTATGATATGAATAACGCATGATTCTTGCTTACCATAATTGTAGACTATATTGTATAATCATGACGACAATAAAATTATGTGTCACTTCGACTGACGACCAATCGGTCTAGTTATAGGTACGCATTTATTAATCGATACAGACCTTAATTATCAAACGAAAAATAAGCTGCGGATATGCGCGTTAGACGTTGGTCTACTATCTATAGCACTTTTTCCACGCGTCTTTTTGTTAACCATATGATAGTTAATTTAATATTGCCCTCTCCAACCACATTTATAGCATTAACGCTATATAGAAATATACATCACGTTCACAAACGTTACAAACTTTATAGCGTAAACTGAAAACTTTTTTCCAAATTACTATCAGTAGACGTAAACCAAACATTACATTACCTTTATCTATAGCACCATAACGACTCTTGACATAAAAATCAATAAACCCCATACGCCATCCTTTCCCCCACATTAGAATCGTCGGTAATATACGTAAAAATGAACTGATTAATGCGTCACATTACCTCTATATATTGCTACAATATGACTTCGGCCAACTATCTTCCCTATAAAAGCCGTTTCAAAATTAACCATCAATACAAACTAAATACAACAAGTTTCTACACATTGATTCAACTACTGTTCACATATTTGGCGTTAAAATTGAGGGCAAAATCAGAGACGAAACTATTTAAAGCGAATGGTGCTTTGCCAAAAATCAATCCGCGTTTACATTAAAGTCTATGTACCAAAAATTTTCTGATTGGCTTGCAACAATTTTATTCAGATAATATCCTAGAAATTACTGGGACAGTAACAAATCTCAGTGACCAAGTAATAATTGTAGGTATTCAAAGTTCAACAAATGCTTAAATATAAGTTAAAATAGATGAACTGATTAGGTTAATTAATAATAATAGATATGCAAATAATAACGATGACAATACGACAGACAAAGACTTTATCTTCGCTCTATCTAATTAAATTATCTTATTTACGGTCGCAAATGTTTAAGCCTAATTTATTATTAATTGCTCTCCTGCATTACTGGTACGACAGAATGGACCCGGGCTTGAGTTTTTTGTAACTAACGGAATTATTTGACGTGAAAGACATACTGTATATTAAGCAATTGACTCCGGGAAAATTAGCATACAAGATTAACAATTGTTCACTTTACAGGAAGACGAGAATTTATTCATAATAATTTTTTATTTCTTATTGTATATACATAGGCTTGATACATGATTTAATACCATTCTATACTACTCCAGTTCCTATTAGCGATAAAATCCGTAAATCAATTAGTATAGTTCATGGCAAAGATAAGATAATACTTACTACTATCACTATCACTTACCGTGTTAATCCATAGAACAAGTAAGTATCTTCTGGTACTAATAAACGTAAATCGATTAGTTCGTGACAACGGAAACTGCCGCATGGGGAACAACTTACCCGCATGGCGTAAATAGTATTCCCGTACGCAAGTATGAAGTATCCGCTATCGCTCGTGGAATACTCGCCGCTATAAAGATAATATAATACCTACTACCACTACTACCACTTACCACGACGTAACCATTCAATAATGACAGCGTAAAGAATTTACAATCCACTTGTCAGTTTAATCTCATGACCAGAACGAATATTTAATACCTTACCATGAAATACTTTATCATGTAATCGTCGTATATTCAGACATGGGTATGTCTAATATTCTTAAAACAATTTGACAATATGAGAGTAATCACCCACTAAGGAAATTTTCCATGGGATATGATCCATTTGTAGGTTTTCCATCTACTTACAAT